GAGATAATAAACGACAAAACAAATGGGACATTACGGTTTCTTGTTGTTTTGTTGTATAAACAACAAAACAAAATGGCATCATTTCACAAGAAGCAATAGTATAATTTCCATGTAAGAGTATAAATGAAAGGCTAGCGAACAAAAGTTCACAAACACCAAAAATTGCATACCAGTTGGCGTGAACTACTTAGATAATATATTATATATTTCCACATGGACAAATAAAAGAGAAAGAAAAAGAGATAAAAAATAAATTAAAGAAAAACAAGTAGGTAAATCAAAAGAATTTCAATTGACAATGTAAACAGATTGAAGAATAGAACAAGGAGGTAAAAGATGAGTATTAGAAGCCTAGCAAGAAAATTCAGTGTTTTAAGCAACACAAAACCTTAAAACAAACAGAATACTGGTAGCGTTGGCAGTGCACAATATGTAACCTTTGCTATGAAAGGTGATTGGCATGTCTAGAAGGTAGTGAAACAAATAAATGCACTAAAGACATGTGGAGGGCACTGATGTGTCCAACTATTCATGTTCAAATAAAATTCAGTGCATTGGAGCATTGGATTGGACTGTTTCCAGCTGCAAAACACCTAATCAGTTCAACAGCCCAGGCTCTTAATATAATACAGCAAAAAGAATACAACAAAGAGCACTACCTTAACTATTTTCTGGAAGATTTTCCACTAATTTAGCTTATTGAAGTCAAACCTTTATTCTGAAAAAAGTGATGCATTTACATGTTCTTTGGTTTTCCTCTCACCAAGTGTCTATTTAGGTTAAATTTTCTCATTCCTGTTTACTGTTGTTAAGGTATTTAAAATGATAAGCATCAATAATGAATGAGTATTCATGGATTTAACATCGGATATGCAAAATCCTGACTGCTCCAAAAGGTCAATATTGAAAAAAGGACATCCAGGATTTATACTAGTTGACGTACTGATACCATGGTACTTGGAGAAACTTAAACAATCTAATCAGAATCTGATGCTTATTGAAATACTTCTATTTTTCACTTTAGAGAATGTGAGCATTGAGATGGTCCCCTGTAAAAATAATTCCAAAACTTGAACTAATAAGCATATGCTATTTTTCTATTATTGGTAGGAAATGAAAATTACAAATAAGATATTTAGGTCGCCGAAGCAAAACTCACCTAGCGAGGTGAAGTCATAAAAGTTGCCCTTGTCAAAATAAAGCTCTGGGCAAAACAAAAGAAGTTTTATTATAAGTAGTAAGTACCAACAAGATGCTGAAAAGGTGCACATAAAAGAATGTCATATATAGCATTTTGCTACTGAGTATAATTTATATCATCTGACAGATGCTAACAAAAAGACTCAACAGAATAAAAATGGGATTCTTTAGCACTTTTGAGTTTTGCATCATAGAAGTAGATGAAGATGCTGAGTTTTTCTTTTTAAGATGCAACAAATAGAAATTTATCTTGATTACAAAATTCATAATGGAGTTACCAGATTATATACACAAGATTATACATAGAGGTTTGCATTAATAGGCTACACATAGAATCACACACATTTACAAATTTGCTTACATGCAGAATATGATGGCACTTGTAAACATTTTGAACTGATGCAATAGTGTGAATGTTCAGTGGGCAATCTCACCTGGGTTCAGGCATACATAAAAGAACTTGACAGTACAACCCAAAGGAAATCATGACTAGATCCTCCATAATTCTAATACAAATTATTTTTTCTCAAACCATAAATATGTTTCATATCTAAATTAGTAATGAATCCACCATCAATTGTTTAAATGAGAAAATTGAGCTAGAAGTATGTGAAAACTCAAATCAGTTGCATTTGACAAATATGATATTTCATCTCTTCATGTTATAAAAGATCACACCCGAAAACCAAGAGGCCTTTGTGAACTTCTATCACCAGAGTCTGAAGACAATAATTTGTCAGATCTCATGCTCCAACACAGAGTCTCTAAAAATCTCAGAATTAACTTTTAAGATAAAAAGAACAGTAAACCAAGGGCAAAAATATGTCGATATATGGTGTCCTGCATCATAAGTTAAGAACATCAGGATGATGATGACAGAATTACAAAGAAAAATCATGCCATTATTTCTTGAACCATAATAGTGGATACACAACGTTTTACTGATTATAGAAATAGTTTGGCTGTGACAGCCAAATGAACTAGACCAAACAACAAAAGATAGAGTGATAAAAGACCAGATTGTTCACGTCCCTTAGGTCAATGAGTAAAGATTGTCTATTTTCGATATTCTTCTGTACTTATTGACTAAGAGATCAAACAAGATCATTTTCATATATTCACCCATAACACTCAACATGTGTGAACAGAATGAAAAACATTACCTATCTGTCCAAGAAGCTCAATTTTGATACCGTTGTGTTCAACTTTTTTCCCCTGTGTAGGTTCTATAATCACCTGTACGATTAGACTAGCAATTTCTTTATCAAGATTTCAAGAAAGTGGAACATAGCATGAAGAAGCATTAATAGCAGACTAAGTATCTAAAAGGTCTAAATGGCAGCACATTTACCTCTCCAACAATGTTTTCTTTACTCTCAAAAATTGGGACCATTGTAGTCCGGCCATTATCCTTCTTTATGGAAGCCTGTACAAACAAATACAAAGAAAGTTTATAAGTGACCAACAAGTATAACAAGCAAGCAAAGCTTTTAGTTGTACAGAAGCATAAAATGGTCTGTTAGAAATGATTAAATCAAGAATTTTCTGGAATGGACCTTAACTTGAATGTTTCCCATTTTTTGTGAGTACAACAATCTAATTTATAATAGATAGAGAAAAAATTACCTCACTTATGCAACTATCCAATCCTTCAATAGCAGACATAGGTTGTTGTACAAGTTACTATTGTTACAATTCAGCTACTGTTACTCAATGGATTGCAACCCAGTAGCCACTTTGAACAAGTCTTCACGAGAATATAAATTGAGTTCTCTCTTCCAAAATGATGTCAAACATTTAAATGTAGAATCTGTAGATGCTAAAGATAGAATATGCATGTTCACATTGCTAAGTAAAACATAGCCCTAGATATATTAAATTAGAAATGTCTAGAAAGTCAAAACCTTGACGACTAAGTTCCATTCAAGCTCAGCTCATCTTTTCATTGATTAATGAAATTATATCAACTTTGATTTCTTGGTCTCAATAAGCCTAAATATGGTGGCTTCGTGTGTTTATTGACTGACAAGATCAGCATCCAAATTTCAAGGCAATGATCCAAAGTTTTTATAAATGTAGAGAAAAGAATCCTTTCCAATCATTCATATGTTCAAATAACTAATGTACCTAAAGAATTCCTTAATTATCACATAAGAAACTAACAAGCAGTTCAGATGAAACAAGGTGAGAAAATGTTGATACTATAAGGCAATAGCATCCCACAGATATTTAATTCTTTACCTGCTTGCGTGTTTTTCCATCAGCAAATATGACAGAGATGGTACAGGGTGGCTTGAAAGCTCCAACGATGTAATTCTGGAACATACAGAGCAAATACAAATAAAACAAGAATAACAGTTGTTTCCTTAATATCTTCATGTCATAGGAAGAAATCTACTAAATAGCTCCTGATCATATTATATCCAGATTCCAGATGTTATAAGATAGATTATGGCAAAGGATATGGATGGATACATAGGTACATGACTATCAAGACTACCAAATATTAATTAAAATCATCTTGAAAGGCAATCCCTGAACTACTAGGCAAGGGTTCCATGAAATAAGACAGAAAATGTGAAGAACAAACTCAACGATTGTACTGGAATCTCATGCCATCAAGTCACCAATTTTTCTTGTCAATTGGAAAAAAGAAAATCTGTGTCTAACCATTATATCTGCCTCCAAGCTATAACAAGGATATTAGTTCACTGTGGGCAATCATTAAAAGTTAGTTGTCTTCTAATTAAAAAAATAACAGGGCATTGCAGGAACAGAATCAAAACTTTCCCATGCTAATTGGCACTTTCTTAAAATAATTGTTCTTAAATCATCTGGAATTTAAAAAAAATCCTCATAATTTCATGCAAATACAATCTACAGAAAAGGTATCATCCATGAGCCATAAAAAGGATCTTGAACATGTTGAACTTGGAGATGGAGGAATGAGCAACAAGGGAAAACAATTCCATATGGAAAGAATTAAACTTGGAGTGGATGAAAAGGTTATATTTGTTTCTCCCTTACGATTTAACCCGAAGAGATCGGAACCGACAATATAATAACTCATAGGAAACCTGAAATAAGAAGAGGCCCTACCATGCTTCTTGAACGGGATACTGCGTCTCAAATCCCCTAACAACGAAATGATCCTCCTGCCAGTAACGCGAAATCAAAGAACAAAGTCCAGGTGATCAAGAGAAAATGTTGACAAAGTAACATCATCGATCAAGAAACGAACCTTGGAGTCTCCTCCAAGGCAGACAAAGAGGAAGCCAACCGCAGAAGATACGGTCCTCGACCACAACAGCAAACGAGGAACCGGCGGCGAGGTCGATCGGTCGGTGGGGTCGATGCCTCGTGAAAGGAGCGACAATAGAGGCGTCGGACCGGCAGGTGCGACGGATTGTTGATCGCGGACGGCCGAGATCGAGTTTTTGGGAAGACTTTTAACGGTTGAAATCCGATATCGTGCGGAATCTTTATGCGGTATATTACATAAGGCTTTTCCTATCTTTTTATCCAAACGACAGCGATGCCACCGGGTTGACCCGTTGGACTGCTGCAGATTGAACACAGTAACACACTGTAATAATCTCCTTCTGTGTAAGAATATTTTACATATAATTTAGTATAACATTTATGAGAAATAATTATTAAAAAATATAAAATTCTTAGTGCTGTATGTTTTCATTATAAACTAAACAACAATAACAATTTTAGTCAATACTTAGCTATTACATAAAGCAATGCAACGATTTCTCCATATTCTAGCTAGGAACTTGTAAAAGCAGATTTGGCATTCTTGGTTTCATAAGCAAAGGACAGAAAAGGCATTTGATCTGAGAAGGCTAAATCAGCCTCGTTCAGTACAGTAATTGCTTTCAAATTAACAAGGAAAGAATAACAAATTATTAGATAGCAGAACAAGCACTCTTCAAAACAACAATGGCAGCACTTTGATACAAGAAGAAAGAACTTTAGTCTCTGGTCCAAGCCAAGAGAATCTGCAAAAGAAACAAAAAGAGGATATCTTACTAGACTAAAATGGTTTCTTGCTTCTTCGCTCCGACAATAAACTCGGGTTCACTAGGATAAACAAAGATAGTTGCTGCAGCAGCCGATGGGTTCAATGCGGCTGAGTACCTTACAGAGGTGATTGATACCTGTGGCAGCTGTTGCAAGCCCGAACATAATGGAACAATCTTGTAACTCATGATGTACTCACTTTTTGGAAGGACGAAGCCAGCATTATCATGAGGGCCAGAAAATACAAAACTTTGACAATCCCCCAGAGAATACTTGATTTCCTGTAGTAGGTTGGTCTGGTTGTGTATCCTAATGTGGAATAAGAAGGGGACTCCTAGAATGGCATGAGGAGGGCAATCAAAACTCACAATCAGTGGTGGTTGCTCGACAATCACACTGGGCAACTTTTGTTCTGTGACAACACCAGAATCTTCAAAATCACCAAGTTTCAAGTCTCTCTTCCAAACTAGACAAACTGAGCCAACCTCAAGATTTGGAGAATCAACCTTCGATGTGACAGAAAAAATCCCTTTGAATTCTTCTCCTGGCACAAGAGGGGCATTGTCGGCAGGAATTCCACCAACATGTTGCACAGAGCAAGCTCTAGAGTCCTCATCACCATCTGATCTAATGGACAAGGATATCACTCGTAGTGGCACCTCACTGCAGTTTTGAGCAGTCACTATGAGGACACTTGTTTCGTTTAGAGCAAGAGAGACCTTCTGTTCGATCCCAGGCAATGATTTGACTTTAGAAAGCAACAGGGGTTCCCGTCGAAAAGGCATCATAAAACAGTGGCTTATGCTGATTGGAATTTTCCCCTCAATCTGCAAGCTCCTATGAATGTTAACTCTCTGAGAAGCAGCTTCTGTGGAGTTTGGTGAGTAACCAAGTGAAGCATAAAGCATAACTGACTTGGGTCTGTGCCATTTGATTTCTAGTTTACATGACCATGAATCTCCTACTCTCAAAACGGGGACAGAGACCACCCCGAAAGACTGTTGAATTTTCCTAATGTTGTCAAACTGGGTTTGAGATTCATCCTCAACACCTGTCCCTGAAATGCTGAGAAGCTCAACATGATGATTACCTGAAGAAAATGGCTCTGCTTCTCTTGGGCTCATCAACAGGCCACCTCCTCTTGCATCCACAAGATTGATCTTCAGCTCACCAGAATAGACTTCATGTCCATTGGATTTGATCGTCAAAGGAACCACAAAAGTTTCTCCAACTAATGCAGGACTAGAAGCACCAAGAATAAGATCAACTTGAGGTTCTGGCTCCTCAACCTGGATAACCTTTAGTCCAGAATATGTAAGTCCAGGGTCCTTTGTTGGGAAGGTCTCCACTTGGTCCTCAAATTTCCAGAATGGCAACTCTTCCATAGATGCAGGACTTTCAGCTTGGCAGCATATCATGAAAGATTTGCCTATTTTAGCTGTAATGGACAAGCACTCGAGTTTTCCACTCTGACCTGCATAATGTATGAACATTAAGAAAAAACAGCTTTGATTGCAAAGAAGGATATGTACAAGTGCTCCTTGCAGAAAGGCTGTAGCTACTTGAAGCATGCAACAACAGAGCTGGGCCTCCCAGAGCTGATCACTACTCATCCATTTGTTAACTACCCGCATGTTGACCTAAATTAGCCTGAGTTTATCATCTCAGTCTCTGGCATAGACCCATCTCAAGATGAGCACAACAAGTATCATGCAACTAAAACAAAGACCAACAGCTGTTGGTCTTGATAACAGTAAATCTGATCTATCACTTCAAGACAAAGACTAAAACATATCACTTGTTGGCAGATCTAAGGAACATGTGAAATAAAGGAAGAATGCCAAATAGCCTGAACTTTGTCGATAAGAAACAAACATAACTATGAGAAAGAAGATTTATAAGCCTACCTGATTTAACTTCATATGTCAACCGCAGCCACTTGTTGGTGGGCAATATTAGTGATGGAGCATTTTCTACACGAACATCTTGGCTGTCCATATCTAACTGTGCTGTAGAGAGATCTTTCACAGCATTGACAATTATGAAGTTGCACTTAGGCTGGTTGAACTCAATTTCCAACCGATCAACCTCAACCGGACATGGTAGTTGTGATAGAAGTGATAAAGTCATCATGGTAGGTGACCCTGGCTTAACAGATTGATCATGAAAGGCAACACAAGCAAGCAATGCCATTCTCAGAGGACTTATAACATCAACATCAACACGAACAGGTTGCTCTTCTGTTATAATGAGACTGCAACCTCCATCTGTCAATGGTAATATATTTTCCCCTCTTAGAAGACCAAAGACTTCATTCTGTACTGATTCTCTTCTTGAAAGGGTAGGTAGACCTGCTGGGCCATACTCCCTTTTGCTATTGGGAGTTTCTACTTCACCAGCAGAAAATATAGGCAATGAAGCCATTTCAAGAGAATATTCAATGAAATCTTTTACTGAGCCAAATCTGCGAGAGCATTCCCGCAAGTATCCCAAACTTTCCCAGAGCAAAGTAACCCAGCCCTCTTGCCGATAAAGACTAGAAACACCATCAAAATGCAGCTTTGCATTATTGAAGTCCTCTGCAATAAAATATTCTTTGGCCATTCTAGTACTACAGTGAGAAGCTAGCCTTGGAGCTTTTAAGCTGTTAAATGATTCATAAGCTTTTTTGAACAGGGCAATGATCTCATATGAATCTTGAAATCTTTGAGCCTCTGTAATAGCATAGTTTATATACTCCGCATCAGAAAGACTGCAAAACTATTGTAGTGTCAGTATCAGCAAAAATTAGCAACAACTTTCAGAACATGCAATGAACTTACGGGAGTACTTCAATTGTATCTCCTTGCTCCAATAAGCGGGCAGATTGACCAACAAATACTGAAGGCAACACAGATTCTGGATTCTTTCCAAGTGTGTTGGCAGATGCAGAGTCTGTCATGGATAAAGAGCTATCCAGACAGTATCTCTTCTCCCTCAAATAACTGGCTGCTAACTTTTACCAGAAAAGTAGCAGTATCAAACAAAAGAAGAAAAGGAAATTAAAAAAAATCATATCAAGATATTAAATTCAATGTATGGCAGTACCTGATAGTAATAAGCTGGTTGCACTTCCCATTCGGTCAAAGGATTCTCTGATGTGCCAAAGTGAGAAGGTAGGGTGCTCGGAATAGCTACTGTGCTTGTCTCTAATAACTCTGCAAAAACCAGAAATTGCCTGCTCAACCAATCCCAATGGAGAAAGGAATTTTTGGTCGAGCCCACAAGCTGTCGATAGCTCGCAATGTGCTTATTGAACCAAGCAATTGCTTCTACAACTTTTCCACCGTGAAGTAATAAGGTTGATGTTTTGAAGTGCAATTGTTCAGCTACAGCTTTTATCTCAACCAGGCGTTGAACTGGTGGCAACCTGGTAGAGGTTGCAATCATCTGAATATTCGAGCATAAAGAATAAACAATAAGACCAACAAAAACAAAATACATTCTGGTAACTAATGCTGGTCTCGTACTTTGATTTTAAACTATTTTGACTCCATTATAAAAGCATGTGCAAGTTATGCTAACTTGACGATCATCAATAAAGGATGAAAGAAATTTGATTACTTTGTTTTTACCACAAATATGCAAGACCATTTTTTAGCAGCTACATCTCAGAATATGTGAAAATTTGAAAAGCCACATGATAGCTTATCTCAACATGCATGACCGGTCCTGCCTACATGACAATCATATCACGTCTCATTGATGATATCTTACATGATAACTGGTAACAAGCTTTAAAATTACAGTCGAACTAGTATGTATTGATCAGTATTTATTAATCTGACCAAGTACCAGTGTTGAAACTTATAACTTATAACTTTATTTTATTTTAATATTACAAGATGGTATAGGTCACTATATCACCTACAATACCATATGTCACTACATCAGACCAGTATTTAAAAATTTTAATTGATGTAAACCATGACCCAGTACATAGTGGCATGCTATAGTGGTGCACCATTTGTATCCTCTACGATTGTACATAGCATATTTGTGCATATGGACAGGGACATGGTATGCCCAAAAGAGGTCTAGAAAATGGAGAAGCACATTATACATGTAGATACTGGTGCTTTCATTTTGCTGGCTTGATCTTTGACCGAAAGACAAACCTGAGATTCACCTACGACAATTGAAAAATAAAATTGAAGCTATAATTTCTGCACCACATTGTCCAGATCCTTGCACAGAAATAGCTGATCCATACGAACGACAAGAAACTTTATATAACACCATGAAATATAGCTGAAGAGGATTCAATACCTCACGTAAAGCACGGTAGGCTTCTTCATAGAACCTTAGTGCTTCTGCCCAATCTCTTCTAAATTCAGCATAAACTGCAACCTGCGTTCAAGGTCCAAACGAAAGAATCAAATGAAAACAATATTTGCAACTAGAAGCAAACACATTGGTCCATCAATCAAACAACTCACAGATATCATATGCAAATCTGACAAAAATGATGAGCATATAAGATCTTGAAATTGTTGATACTCCAGACAAAAGCTTGCATTAGTTTAAGCAGTTGTATGTCCAAGATTGCTAAAAATACAAACAAATATCGGCATATCAGCAAACACAAATCACAAGGACTGTTTAGAGAGCAGGGAAAAAAGACTTTGAAGTGCTTCTCTGGCATTGCATCCAAAATGAACAGTATTTGCCTACAATTTCATCAGTTACTATGACAACATCATTATATTTAGCCCCTTTGTTGCACCACAAGTATCATAAACTAATATATTACAGAGAACTATTTGATTACAGATCTAGCATTTTCATGATGTACTAATATATTATAGATTTCAACAGATTTCAGTTATCAATACTGTTATACCAAGGTCCTAAAAGATGTTCTCTACATCGATGTTCTCCCACCACAAAGCTCATGTGTGGCCAAACTAAGAGACATGCGATCTCTTTGTATTGCTTCTAACAAGGTTCTCTGAAGTTTTCCTAGACCTCATATCACATCACTAATTATGTTGAGTCACCTCATCTAAAGGATGAATTTATAGACCTCCTCTGGATGTGTACAAGTTCTAGAAATTCAGATATTCAATGGGATATAAAGGTTAAAAAAAATGTACCATAATATTTTTTATGTTTTCTCATCTCATTTTTTTATATTTTATAGTATTATATCCACTTTATAATATTCTATTTTACAATCATTTCCTCGATTAATTTCGACCCCATTGATCCAATATAACTAACCTTATCTAATTTATTAGTCAATGTTGATCATATCATCCTTCGCAGATCTCTATATTGATGTTGATTTTGTGAACTATGCCTAAATGTTTCCATTAAGGTCCACTTCCAAATTAAAACATGAAAATTTGGAAGGATTGCATTTCTGAAATACAGATCCACCAAAATAAGTGGTCATTGTTTGTTTTAATAAAAATACTTGGAGCAGAATTTAGAATTCTATTAGTCTCTTCTCTCTCTTTCTCAACACTTCCTTCTCAACCTCTTCATTTTGTTTCATTTTTTATCACAATCTCTTTTTACCTTTCCTCTTGGAAAGCCACTACCTACAGGTCATTGGTGTTGTCACATCTCATTGATTGTGGTTTTGAGACTATATGAATGGCTGATCCCTCTGTAGGAAATTATAATATTATTATGGATGTTGAAGAATCTCTCCAATTGTGTGCTACTTTTCCAAACCAATGAACCATCTACAAAAACCTACACCATTAACAATTTTTGGCAACTGCAGCCTTAACCTTTATGCGATTCTTCTTTAGGATGGTCTTCTTGGTAAGAATGATATTAGTTGACAATTATTGCTAAAGAGAGTTATAAAATTTCATAGTACAACTTTTGGTGATTGTGAACTGTTCTATGAGTTATAGTGTGGAAGTTTCAAATTAGATGATTTTTTTACTGTCGAACTTGATTAAAGAATTATGCTTGGGTGGTTTTGATATTTTAGTTAGACTTTGTGATTATTGAAATAGTTATTTAGTCACTAAGCAAACATTATTATTTCTTTTTTGGGTTTTAACATCAAGTTAGAGTCTTATTTCCTAGCCTAGTATATCAGTTGTCATGCTTTATCAAAAGCTTATGGGTTGTCACTCTTTCTTTTTTCCATTTTTTTTATATCCACTGAGAAAAACACACTTTGCCAAAAAATATGACAAGAATGAATCTTCCATGCTGAGAAAAATGAAAGCAAGAATACTAAAAATAACACAGCGAAAGCAACCAAACTAAAGATTAAGGATATTAAGAAATAATCATTTATCGGATCAAACAGAAAAGATTAGGCTCTTGCCTTGAAGCAATATCGTATATTCAACTCGACAGAATTAAAGGTCCGCTTCTCTATGCGGGTTCTTATTCTTCGTCCTTCTTCTCGATAGTATGTGTTACATAGCTCAGCAAATATGCTTGCAAGTCTGCATAGAGTTAGAGATAATTATTATATATAATTCAAAGTCACAGCAACATCCAAGTTTAATGTATGTGATCAGATATTTAACGGCTTCCACATCACCTGTCAAAATATTTCCAAGATACAACATAACACCCACTCTGACAAGTTAATGCAATCCAAGATAGAGTAGGTAAAATGTCTCATTAACTTGAATAGTTTCACTTACTGCTTTGTTGTTGTCTATGGATCAGATTGGGCTTTGATTAGAGATATTTTACAGTTTGTTGGATTTAAAGAATGGAAGCCTTGGTTCTATATTAAGTGTCATTATGTGGGCTGGGTTAAATTCCTGAAGTACCTCATAACAGATGACCAACAATCAGTGAGCTGCATGCTATAAAGAAGTTCCAACACAGATTCAAAGTCACTAAGCAAGAAAGATTCTACTGAAAGGACTATGAAAGAATTTACTTAATTATCTATGTTCCTAATATAGTTGCTTCAAGAAGTCTTAATAGTCCAAGAAAACTACATACTAAGTAATTCAAATAAGGGGTGATAATCATCCACTTTTTGAATTCAGATGTTAAGCCAGATGCAGGTTAGAACTATTCAGGATATGAATCTGAATCCAATAAAAATGAAAAGGATCCAGAAAGATTTAATAGTAGATCCAAAACTAATATCTATCATATATCAGATTCAAAGCTGTTATTTCGCTTATCCTCATTGCAAGAAAAATAATGTCATGATGGTTGAATACAACATTTAATTTTGGAACATCATGTGAATCCAAAATTGAAGAGCTTGTCAAAGCTAAAAACCATGAGATCTTTCCCTTTTCTATTTGCCATTTTGCATCTCAAAACCAGGAGCCATCAATTAAAAAAGGACTTCCGAATCAACTGCCCATAAATTGGCACTCTTATTAGAGATCCCTTCTTGATATAGCCATTGTCAAAAATAAGAGGGCACTAGAGATCACTTCTTGATAGAGGCATTGTCAAATATGACAAAGCCATTTCTAATTGCCTTCATACTATATACTTCTTCAGAAGAAAATCTTTAATGAAATGATTTCTTGGGAGCAGGTAGATTGAATAGATGGTCACGGAGAACATTTGACTCCTTCCTTACATGTTTGCACATCCATCAAATTTTAATTGGTGTGCCAAACCATGAAGGCATCTAAGCTGAAACTCATACCACATCCCACCATGTCAAGTGTCAGAAAGGTATGAAACATGTCATGTGCCTCAACAAGTCCTAACTAACGTCCTACAGGATTGTAATATTATAATTCTTGATTTTGATTATTATAGTAAATATTACTCAGAGAATGAGTGATCTGAATTAGTTGTAATAACGTTGTAATAATGTTGGCCTATAAATTGGCTGGCAAGGGATGGCTAAAATAAATTAGAACAGAAGTTTGACAATTAGCTGAGGTGTTTCTTACTAGGTTGTAATGAATCTAGAATCACCCAGAAAGAAGGATTTAGCTGAGTGGATTAGGAAAGGATACATCAAGTTGTTCATGTTTCCTATCCGTTGCTTCTAAGTGTCCTAGTGATAGAAAGAATACAGATTCTACTGTTATTCGATAAAAGTGTCAATCGCTGGGAAAAAAAATTATCCATTTAAGAAATCATTTGGCAGATCCCTCCAATATCTCTTATTCTCTTTTTTTTTTGTTCCCCTTTAAATTCTCTCTTCTTAATCCCTTTCTCTATGTAATTTTCATAATGCTGAGACACAATAAAATCACTGTATCTATCAATTGGACCAGACAAGATTAATGTTCATTGAATTTTACTGCCACCTGTGAAAGATCAAAGATCAAAGATCAAAAAAAGGCTGTTTATTCAGTTCATATTGAGATTCTTCTGAAAATATAAATTGATGCAATATCTGAATCAATTAGTTTACATCACAAGTCCAATAATTCTAAACAACCAAGACAGTTTTTACATCAAGTATATCTATGGATGGGTATTCAATGAAAGCTGACAAATGTGTGTGCATGTCTTGTTCTTTACATACCTGGTAAGTGACTGCCTTAATTCTGAGGCATCATTTTGTAAAAACGTGATCAAGTATTTTGTGTCAATTTCTGCGCGCTTTCTTAAAGCAATTTTAAGGTCTTCGCTCACATCTTCTGCATTAAACATATAATATTTAATGAATTACTTTGTCATATTGAGCACAGGATCCAGAAACCATGTGTATTAACTGACAAACAAGCATTAAAAAATTTCCAGAAATGGAATACAAAAAAATAGAGCTGTTGCAGTTTGATCTTCAATGTGCAATGATAATCCTTAAGCATCTTGCAATATTACTTAATTAAGATGGAAAATATAGAGATTATACAATCTTTTCTCACATCAGACATCTTACTTCTACTATAATCAGACAGAGTAACTTACAAAGAAACCACAGTTACATACCACTCTCATTTGTCTGCACAAGAATAACAATCAATCTAATGCTTCTCCCATGAACTGCAGCTCTGCCAAAAGTAAAGGATAGTGTGACCCATTTAAAGCATATAATAAAGTGGAATTTAGAATTCTACATTAGAATAGGAAAAAAACAACAGAACTATACAAAAAGCAAATGACATAGAAAAAATATTAATAAATGGAACATGAATGAAGGAGGAATCCATGAAGCCAAAAAAAACATAATAGCTAACCATTCTATACCATCATTCAGAATTTAAATCTGAAAAGCAAAAAATGAACATGCCTCTGAGCAATAATTCCACAGTCCCATCTTATGAGCATTAAAGAAAAACTAACCCCACTTCCCCTCGGGTGCAGCCTCTACCAAGTATTTGTTGCCTCTTGAAATATCCAACTTTGGATGAGGAATAGGTAGACAGGCAAGTTTACTGGGACTCACTCATTCCCATTAGTGTTAAGATTTCAACATGTATCAAACTTCCAAGATTGTCTTCAGCCTTCAAAAAACAATCAGTGCCATAGTCTGGTGTGAACAAGAAACAAGAGATCTTCTGAATGAAGACAGAAGCTCACACTGATGATCTCATTACATCTAGCACTAATCAAGTAAATCAGTTCAATTATATAGTTGCACTTCTTGAACTATTAACAATGTCAAATCCCTTTAGTGGATTGCAATCATGTAACACTGATATGAGATTACTAAAAGAAGGTTAATTATGGAAACGCTTTTCTAAAAGCAAGATTTTCAATTTAGCTTATCAGTATCTTGAATTTATTTGACGGGCACATGCATAAAGTACTACAAGGGAATTAATATGCTACGCTATATCATGTTTGAAAAATTGGAAGCATGTGACCGCCTGTATGATGTGACATCAAAGATAAGAAATAGGGTTCAACAACACAGAAGGCAGAAAGCTTGTCTCCCCAGATGGATTCGGATTGCACTAAGAGATAGTTACGTTTATTAGAAGTCTAAATTCCAATAACACTAGAAACATAATAGTATAAGAAAGAATGTGCACTGCTTCGAACAACAAACAAGTACATACACCTCTCGTGCCAACGATCAGATCGACAATGAATCTATAATTTGTGCAGAATGTGACCTTTCTCTCCAGGAATGGTGGAGATACTATCAACTGAACTAAAAGAGGAAGCAAAACGTAATCAAAGAGGAAGGAATCCGTACTTTAGGTTCTCAAGATCGGTGCAGACCTGTAGCCACTGAGCGGGATCACCGGTAACGTAATCAGCACGAAAAAGCGCAGCGACGGCAGCGGCCACCCTGGTCCGGTGCTTCATCAGCCAATCCCGCTTGAGGATGCCCGCCACCGGTTGGGGGGAAGCGAGGGGATCCTTATGCTTCCTCGCCAGGACCGATATCTTGGAAAAATCCGGCAGTGCGAGGGTGTTGATGGGGGGCTGCTCGGCGTGGAGGAAGGAGGAAATCGTCTGGTGGAGCTCCGGACACCCGACCACAGAAACGAGAGAGATCGGCGGGGTCCGGAGCTCCTCGGGATAGTACTCCATGTTGCCGCCGGATCGAATGCCCGTACGAGTTAGGGATCTCGGAAACCCTAGCTAGGGTTTCGAGATCGCGAGCTGGAGCGGAGCGGGAGAGAAAGCGATGAGTCGGAGATCCCCTTCTCGGGAGGAAAACGATTTGACGACCCGATCGTAGCCTCGTTCTCGCCATCTCGAACCGTTTAATTAACATCGGACGGCCCAAATTAAGATCGGCTTCTCGTTCGTAACATATGAAACTGATATGCTTTCCCTCATCAGGCGCATGCACTGTCCGCCTGATCCCGACTCAACGGTCAGGATAAATAAGATCGAAAACGGAGACTTTTAACACATTTTTCACTCACGCCCTTCCCGTTTTAATACCTCCATGTAATTGGAGGAAATGGTTAGTGACAAGATGGTTCCACGCGGGACCCACTATTCAGCCAATGACACGGCCGGGTCACAAGATATTTATATTCAGAGTAGCAGAAGCCCATACTTGCCGGCGGCCACCGCCTTCTCCTCCCCTCCCACCATTTAGTGCCCCCGGTGCAGCCATCAGTTGGCGGTGGATGTTAACTGGATCTGTAACGTTGACGGGTCTTTACTGAGCTCTGGAGGTGGCGATTCACGGCGAAGACTGTTGCTCCTGTCTGTAACGCCCGAGTTCTAAGTGGTTGGTGGCGGGAAGACAGACTATGATGGCGGAGACCGCCGCAGAAGACACCGCCTGAGCTCTGGAGGTGGCGATTCACGGCGAAGACTGTT